ATACAATATTTTATTTTCAAACAATTTTTATTCTGAATAGGGCAGAATTTTTAATTTAAAATATGACATTCGACATTCGACTTCCATATTAAAGATCACCTTTATATAAGCACGTATACCTGTATGTACAGGTGAACTACCTTATATCGCTATGAAAAAACATATGTAAAGGGCCCCATACACTACGATGAAACACGACGGTTTTCATCGCCGCGATGAAACACGTCGTTCCAAAACCGAAGTGTGTGGTAGAAAACCATCGTGTTTTTCTACCACATTCGGTTTTGGCAGGACGTGTTTCATCGCGGCGATGAAAACCGTCGTGTTTCATCGTAGTGTGTGGGGCCCTTAACGGCGTATAAACGTTATACTCCGGCAGAGTAGGTATACACTTATACGCCGCACGCCGGCGCCGCTCAAGCTGAAAATAATTGAAATGACTCTTATATACCTTGTCAAAATGATCACAAAAATTACTGTTATAAGACGCTTGAAAAAAAAATTAATAATAGATTATTAGGAATGTTATACTTAATAATGTAAATGCAGTAGCAAATTTCAATTAGATTGAAACTCTACTACCTAACTTATTTTTGTACCGTGTTTATACGTATTTTTCTATTTTTCAATTTAGCTCAATCGCGAATAATTTCGGATTAAGTCCATAGAGTCAGCCACTTCTCACTTTTGAGGGACATTAGGTGATCTTGGCCGTTTCCACCAACTTATTTGGGGGAACCCTAATAACGATAAGTATTCCTTAAACCTACACTTTTCTCCATGGAATACTATCATGTTAAGATTTTTAAGGAGTACTTGTCGTTAAGGCTGCCCTAAAATAGTTGGTGGAAACGGCCATCAGTCTTTCTTCCCCCATAGTTCTACGTGACTCATTGTTTATGAGTTTTAGTTAGCTGAATTTTCGCTCATTGGTTGCTACTGAATATCCTGCAGTAAAGAGGAGTTGGGCATAATTAAAATGCTTTCTTAAGTACCTAAATTTTTATTTTTTAATGCAATACTTTCATTCCTTGTTGCATATTATCAATAGTTATGGTATGTTTATTACATAGATCAAAGAGAATTTTAATCTCTGCTGCAAGAGCGTATGCATGTGGTCCAAAATTTGGAGGATATAATATAAATTAAGCATAGACTGAGATCAAGTACTAAATTGACATATTCATGCGTATCATATGCATGAAATATTCATCAGAAATTCACTAGGGATATTGGATATTCATTAAATATTCCAATATCCAATTGTCATATATGTGGCAGATTGCAGGGATACATATGTTTCATAGTGACATAAGCATATGCCTGGGATATGAATAGATCTGCATGGCATATGAATGAGATATCTCAATATTCCCATGAAATATGCCATGAATATTCCTGCAATATGTTTGTGCCGTCTGGGACCATAGTAAAACTGGATGAACTTTTTATATTGCTCAAAAATCTCTGCATAGGTGGATGGTATTCGCCTATTCACCAACTTTATACCCGGTGAAACAGACCGTTGTTCACGAGCAGTAAACAGAATTATTAATTTTTCATTTCCCAGTTTACTAAAAGACATAGGTAAATACCGAGGTAAATACATAAAATATTAACAAAAATAGTTAGTCGAAATGGCATAGGTAAGTGTAGTATTTTTAATATTTGGAGGTCTGCAGAGACTACCACAGTTTTTGAATGTTGTTATATTTCATCGCTCATCTTTGGAAACTTTTTTGTCTCTGGACAATTTTTGATAAACTTCATCACAGTGTTCGAGATACTTAGGTATAGGTAGTACAAATTTAATGAAAGGACGAAAAATCAAGATAGCGGACTGGATTTGGAGATGTTTCACCAATCACAGCCACGGGGACTTTTAGTGCATGGTTCAAAGGGATACTAAAAACTATAGAACACGAGTGGTGGCAGCTTTAAGCTAATTTGTTGAGATCAAGCATATACCATTTTCATAAGTGCAACGGAGTAATACTCCAATGCGCAGCGAAGAACAACAGGGGAGCCACAGCCAACAGGCAGATCCTTATTCTGATAGTCAAGCGGCACTGAAGGCCCTTTCGAGCCAGACAGTGTCATGAGTAGTATGGGAAGGCCAGGAAGAACTCAGAACCCCTAATAACACAGTAACATCGCAGAAACATTCCAGAAACATCCATCAGGGATAATGAAGACGTCCCTGGGAGGTCCCTATTTTCCTGGGGACATCCCTGGGATGTTGCAGGCAACAGCCGTGTCATCATTTGCGATGTCCTATAAACATCTCTCAGGGATGTTTCTAAGATGACGCGGGATGTACCTAATACATCCGGGGCAGGTGTAAGAAACATCCTCTATATGTTTCTAGTTCTAGTATGACTTTAATAGGTGAATGAATTTTAGGATTATGGATTAAAAATTACCTAATTCAATAATTTTCAATTTTCGTTCTATTTTCTGGAAGTCAGAACTTTTTCCAAAAAAAAAACAAAAATTGAAAATTATAAAATTAAGTAGGCACATCAGTTTCCAATAACATTTTTTATTGAAAAAATAAGGTACATGTATACTTATATTGATTATCTATCAACTAATAATAATCGACGGACAATTTTGCCTAAATAATGTAGTATTTATGCCCCGTCATGTCATCGAAAACCATAGTTTGGCAGTGGCAGCATGTTGTAGTAGGGGAGTTCGGCGTTTTCTTTTTTTGTTGGTGCTCCAATTTCATAAAGGTACCATTATCTAACCAAAACAACCACAGAACCAAAATCCAAAGTTCTTGAAGTACAATTCAACTTGCACACCTAGAATGTAATCAACTATGAAAACAAAAAATAATTATTGGTTATTTTCTCTTACCTAATGAAGAATGAAGTTCGGGTTTCTAGGGGCTATTTATCAGAAAAGTTAGAAATTTCCTAACCGACGCCATATTGAAATTAAATAAACTAAACAATTGATAGTTATGCGACGTTATCTTTCAACAAATAATCTTTCTCACCAACTAATAAGCACTGGTAGGTCGCAGAGATCCTTTCGAACACAAAATGGCACAACTAGGTGTAGCGAAAAACCACAAATTGACAAATCCTCAACACAGCACGACGCCATTACGAAATAAAATTCCGCCCAACAACACAAGCGTAGCGCACAGGACGACCCGTTCGACTGATTCTGCCCGTCTGCGCTGGCTGCGGCGCCGACCCGACGTGGTGGCGTGCCCTCCTGTCCTGACCGGTACAAGTACAAATGCCTGAGCACGCGCCTGCGCCATACACTTCGGCTTCACGAATATTCACGATGTTTGAAAGTTGAAAAGAGAGAAGACTTTTATCAATACATATTTTATTTTATTCCAAGTTGTAAGTCGAATGAAAAATTAAATATTGCTGTTGTTACAATACAAAATTAATATTAAGTTCCTTATTATCTATATACATTACAGGTATATTATGGAATTTGAAATTAGTTTGTGTGTGTGATAGAGACATTTTCAGAAATCACACAAAATTGGCAAATTTAATACTGGGTCCTACCGGTCTGAGGTCCTACCTAGTTTTGTAAAATAATGTTAGCGATTTTTTAGCTGTAATAAGTATCTAATTTTGAGAACAAAAAATCTTTTTGTCGATAGATATTTTCGAAAGGATGTTTCTAAAACATTTCAGGACAATCATCCTAGAGATGTTACATTACAAACATCGCAGCGATGTACCATTTATGTCGGAAACATAAGGACCTTAATGGTACATAAATAGGATGTTTCTGGGAGATCGGTGTTATTAGGGACCCTGGCGGACCAGAATAACGTAAAACTTATCTGGGTGCCAGGACACAGAGGAATCAAAGGCAATGAAAAAGCTGATGAACTCGCAAAGAGAGGGTCAGAGACAAAACTTATCGGGCCAGGGGTGCGATTTTCGAAACCATTCGAGTACATTTCGTACACGAAATTTGACTGACAGCAATGTAAATTAAATGGGAAGCAGTCAATTTTCGTGTACGAAATGTACTCGAATGGTTTCGAAAATCGCACCCCAGAACCCGGCTCCGACTTTAGGGATACCAAAAACTATGACCAAAAGCCACATCAAAGACGGGACTCGTAATAAAGCACATCGACGACACTGAACAACTTCCAGGCAGAATCATGATAGGGAATTCCAACCCATGCAGCAGAAGGGCCGCAGAACTGCTACAAATGAGCAGGAGCCGAATGAGAACCATAACAGGACTCTTGATTGGTCACACATCAGTAAAGGTCCACCTGAACAGGATGAACCTGTACGACGGAGACCTTAATTAATATGCAATAAGGAACCCGAGACAGGCAGACACATCCTGGTAAACTGCGCGGCCCTGGATCGCAGATGACACATCATTTTCGGGCAACCAAACGTAGACCCAGAAACAATAGGTCTGTTTCTGCAGGAATCACAAACCAGTTAGAGTGAATTTCATTGGTTGAAACTAATTTTCTGACTGTTTTCAACCAATGAAATTCGCTCTGACTGGTTTGTGACAGACCTAATAATAATGTAAAAAAGTAATGTGAAAGACCTGTACAACCTCATACAAGGCACAAAAATACTGGAGTGGTTGGAATAGAGCCAAGCACATGCGAAGTACAATCAGCCTTCTCAGGGTTTAGTGCTGCATGGGGACAATAAGTTGGACAAGCCTAGAACAAGGGGAAAAAAATTAATGCAGTTATTTTTATCAGATTCCTAATATGACAGTCATTGAGAACGTCGTTTAGCGAGCTGCATTTATACACGATTCCACATTTATGGACAAAATTTCTTCTGAGGTTACAATAACAGATTGCTAGAACTTGAATGAAGAGCTATTTTTTCTCTCAGGAAATACCAAACTGTTTTTGTATATCAGACACAATCTCATTTATTGTTCGAATTCTATCTAGCCGTTTGACGACTGTGGAGAACGTTGAAGTCATGGATCTGGCCATTCTGAAGAATAATAATTCTTCTCTAAACCGACTGCCCATGTTTGGACTATGGAACATTAGAATTTTGGAGGATTACACTCGGATATACACAAGAGTAAAAAGGAATACATATAAATATAATACATAGGGCATACATAAGAATACATTGGAGGTTTACCCTTCGAGTATGCGTAATAATTCTCAGTACAGAAATTCGTGAAACTAGCATCAACCTTTATAGATACCTACAATAAAGATCCAACAATTTTTGAGTAAAATATAATTAACAAAAAAAGTCTACAATTTTTCTTATTAAACTAATTAAAATTCATCTAATTTTCACTGCTGCTCTCAATTTAGCTGACCTAGACCTATTATTTGCCTCAACCTCCTCTAGACTAGGTACAAGAACGTGTTTGTGCAACATTTTCCACTTTTTCTCCATAAGTTTGTCCAAATCTGTTGATGCCAAGTTAAAATTGTGACTCTGAAATTTCAAAGGTAAAGGATTGGCCACATTCTCAATCATATTCCCTAGCATGTGCCTTTTTACTATAGTATCTTCCAAAGAGTGGAAAGTTATTGTGATTAAACGTCCATTGAGTTTCAGATAGTGATGAGCTAATAGAAGGCCATAGTTTATTTCATTTAGTTCATTATTCACAAATATTCTTAGGGCCTGGAAGGTTTTGGTGGCTGCATATCTGTGTTTATTATCATTATTTACAATAGTTTCAACTAAATCAGCCAATTCCTCAGTAGTGGTTAATTTTTTAAATAAATATCTTGCCTCTACTATAGCCCTAGCAATTTTTTTGGCTTGCTTCTCTTCTCCGTAGTATTTAATTATTTTATATAAATCCTCTTCAGTTGCATTGGAAAGTACATCAGCTGCTGTTGGTACTCCCGAATCCCTATTATCCATCCGCATATCTAAAGGCCCGTTTTTAGATATTGAGAACCCTCTTTCAGCCAAATCAAATTGCATTGAAGAGCAGCCAAAATCAAATAAAATGCTGTCAATAGAGTTTTTGCCATAATCATGTTGCTGGAGCAATTGGGGAAGATCAGAAAACTTGCCTAATAAAGGGATGATTCTATTTGGGAATTCTTTGGCTAATCCTTGAGAGTATTCATAAGCCAATGGATCTCTGTCCAAGGCAAGTATTTTAACATTGGGTTCAAGTTTTAGGATTTCCCTTGAATGTCCCCCACTGCCAAAGGTCATATCTAAAATTACTTCATGCTTTTTGATATCTAAGTATTGGAGTACTTCGTTTGCCATTACTGGAATATGAGGCTGATTAGTGCAAAATAAGCGTCTTATGACTGAATTCATGCTTATTTAATTGAAATGAGTTTCTTGAAAAAAGATTTATTTTCCTCGTTTTTTATTTCTAGTAGAATTTCGTTGGATATGGCCTGATTGCACTGCTCGGCGGTCAAAGTTGTAGCCGAAGATTTTAGGGTTCGCTTGTACGAGTTTTTGTGGGTATTATTCACAAGCTTCTGCAAAGCCAGGTATTGCTGATCCCAGTACTTATAATCGGATTCGAAGGAGTTTTCTTTGTATGCTTGTGTAACGTATTTTGTAAAATATTCACAATAATCCCTAGAAAAATATTTGAATGAAAAGTTTGAGGGAGATTATTTTTTATTTATTTACCTGCCGCCCGCTTTGGATTTATCTATCGGCCACTTTTCTAATATTTTTAATATCCTGTTATAAGCTGCAGCAGCGTAAGCCATTATTTTACTACTAGAACTAAAAAATTATTTTCATTTTAATTTTGGGGTCTATAATATGAGGTTATGTCACTATAGTGTTGTAAAGTGTGTCAAGAGTTGGGGTCGAAAATGTGAGGGTCACTGCTCACTATTTACCTTGCATTCGGTATTTTGATCAAAGAGCAGTGCGTGTTAAGCGGAGCTGTAATCACGTAACCAGCGAGCGATCAGAACAGTTGAACGCTGCTGTATCAGAGTGCCAGAAATTTTAATAAACGAATGCGAATGAGCCTGCACCGAGTACACTTTTCAAATAAACGAATGGTAAATTCTAACTCGGAGAACTCAGATCAAAATACCGAACGCACGGTTACCTTGCGTTCGGTATTTTGCTCAAAAAGCAGAGCGTGCTGAGCGGAGCCGTAATCACGTGACCAGTGAGCGCACAGAGCAGTTGAACGCTGTTTAAAAGTGCCAGAAATTTTAATAAACGAACGCGAATGAGGCTGCACCGAGTACACTTTTTAAATAAACGAACGGTAAAGTCAAGCTCGGAGAACTCGGACCAAAATAACGAACGCACGGTTAGTTGCATTAAAATCTGTTTTTTTTTTTAAAGATAAAAGTCAAAATGACATTGTGTTGGCAATACAATGTAAAATTGTCAAAGCTCTCAATTTTTTTATGTAGAAAAGGCTTGTATTGCCAACATAGTTACTAAATTTTTGACTTGGGGAATTATCTTTAAAAAAAAAACAGATTTTAGTTGTATTCCTTTCAAGAGTTTAGAACACTAGAGCTGCTCGCTCCGGTGTTATAGCGATTTCCATTTGTAGAATCACTGCTAAAAAAGTGTATCCCTTATCTTTTTATTTTATATGATTTTGGCAAAAGATGCGGATACACTCAGTGCGCACTGGTTGACAAATGGAAATCGAAAACTACATTAGGGAAATCGCTACTGTAGAAATCGCCATTTAGGGCGGGTATTATAAAACTATATTATTTGTGATCCTTTCACACCTAGGAGGAGCTCCGGAACAGCTCCAGGGCTTCACGCGCTTATTCCTTTCGAAAACTGTTTGTTGCACCACGCATCTGTTCCTCCAACTGTAGGACATCACAAAAAAATCGTTACTTTTTTTAAATTTCGCCCAAATACGATTATTCCGGAAGTTATACAAATATTAGGTTTTGTATATATAGATATACTGAGCATGTGCGACGTCACAACGTATGATAGGTTATGACGTCAGAAGGACTTTTCAAAGCGTTATATCTCCATCAATTTTTGACTATCGAGAAAAAGAAAAAACACGTGTTGACTTATTTTTCATGGGCTATCGAAATCAGCAATAAAAAAATTGATGCAAGGGGCCTATTACTATGGAAAGCAGGGACCCGAACCGGAACGATATTGGACCGAAAACCGGAACGAAACCGTTTTTTTTTGCGGACCGGAACCGGAACGAAACCCATATTTCATAAAAATGTTGTAGGGCAGGCAGAACCGGAACTGATAAAAATTAATCGGTTCTTACCGGTATTTTTCGGTACCAAGATTTTATAAATTAAGTTGTTTGCTGTTTGGTTGTATCATAATAAAATTAACACTTTAAAAAACAGAGCGTTGGACATTGGACAGCGCGCATTTCTGAACTCGGCTAGGCTATACACCAAGGATTTTACATACTACTACAGGATTGCTCATCGGCTTCGATTTTTGGAATCAAGTTCATATGTTGTTGAACCGTTGCCGACGTCATCAACGGTCTCGTTAGCGGTTTGCGTTCGTAGTTAAGAATATACATGTATGATGAAAATATAATTTAAATTTGATTAACATAATAGTCAATAGACAAGAGGAAGATGCAAATGCGATCTAAACAAGGGTTGTTTTAGAATATTAAATAATGTACTATGGTTCTAAACCGTTTCGAAATACAATCCAATCCACGTGCCGAGAAATTATGACGTCATTGTGAAACTGATTTAAACCAGTTTTAGAAAATGTTTCAGAACTTTGAGCAAAGAGTGCAAAGACAATACTACTACTACTTCGTAGAAGTATTGTCTTTGCTCGTTTGCTCGAGTCTTTGCTTTGAGACGCGAAAAAACACCTCCTAATCCGTGGTGCAAGCACTACGTCAAGGCGAGAAACGACACGCTGTTACGTCATCACTAATCGAAAACACGAAAATTTATTTTATTAATAGTAATTATTATGATTATTAACACATTGACTGCCAAGGCCAAATCCCTGAATTATTCGCTGGGGGCCAAAGTTGTATTTTCGTATTTTTTGGCTTTTCTTTTATTTTACAGTGAAAATTTACTTATAATTCTGTTTGGTTTTTATTTTTTTGGCTTTTTTTCATTTTTTGTTGTGTCATTCATAAATGAATGACGCGGCCCCCTGGAAAACTTTGACGAAATTTTATCGCACCGGCCACGTCATTCATATGCGAATGAGACAACAAAAAATGCAAAAAAGCCAAAAAAATTAAAACCAAACAAAATTATAAGTAAATTGTCATTGTAAAATAAAAGAAAAGCCAAAAAATACGGAAATACAACTTTTAGCCCCCAGCGAATAATTCATGATTTGGCCTGTTCCTTTTGTAAATTATAAGTTCATATTTCATCATATACACATAATACATCATATATCAGGAAGAATTAGTTTTTTTTTTTGTGTTTGACAGTTTTTTACTTAAAATTATACCTATTTTAAGTAAATTTTTGGTTTCATTGGTCTTGGACAATAATCCAACAAAATTTGCTCTGGCCAAGTTTACCTTGAGAATCCCCAGGGGCCACGCAAATATATCTCCACTTAAAATACACAGGCTGTCATACCTAAATGCATGACATGGCCTAGAAGTGAAACTGAACCGTCATACAAATATGAATGACGCGGCCGGAACGGAAGTGGCCGTGTCATTCATAAATGTATGACGAATGTGTTAAAGTTGTTGCAGATAGGCAGAGAAATCCAAAAATAATAAACCACAAATTATATAGAAACATAAATTTTTCTGTAATGACCGTTTTTAGGGATGCTTCTTGAAATGGTCAGTGCAAATGGCCATTAGATATTCGTGAAAAACTATACCGGTATGAACCGTTAAAACCGAAATTATTGGTCCGAACCGAATCGAAATATTTCTCAGAACCGAAACCGTAACGGAACCGATATTCGTCATGACGCTTTGGACCGGAACCGGAACGGAACCGATATTTCATTTCGGTCCGGGTCCCTAATGAAAAGTATCGTCATTCCAGAAGTTAACTTCTAAGTTAACTGTTGAAATAGTTTTATAATACCCACCCTTAGGGCGGGTATTATAAGACTAATTTGAGAGTTAACTTTAAGTTAACTTCTGAAAATACATGTAATTCAAAAAGTTAACTTCAAGTTAACTGTCAAAGCAGTTTTATAATACCCGCCCTTAGTCGACTCCAGGTCGACTCCAATTTGAAAGGAACCTGTTTTCGTGCATTTGAATTAAGCCGGCGCCACACGATGTGTCGAATGCCTTCCAACGTTGGACTTATAGCGATTTGTAGCATCGTGTAGCCGTGCGCTCATGAGAAACATGTTTCCGACGTTGGCCACACACGCACCATTTCGACACATATGCCTGCTAGAATGCCAAACATTGTAACCATCGTTATTCGTTGATCCAACGTTGGATCCAATAGTTGAACGCATCGTGTGGCGCCGGCTTTAGACGGAGAGCCAGCGCCGAAAAAATTCTCTCTGAATTTACTAAAGCCAGTTTCTGGACAGTTGATTACAATAGTTATGTCACAGCCCTTATGTACATAAATATAGCGCGGTCAGTCAAACGAAACTTGGGACAAGGACCTAAAGTTGTCGAGATAACTTAGGTAATGCGACGATATACTAAGGCTGAATATCGTTATACATGTTATATACCTATTACACATAAATAACAATGATGTTATAATCAGTCAGTTGAATAGCGGAACTGTGCTGAGTATATAAATTAATAATTAATGGGTTTGTTCATGTACTATTTCCTGTAGATTTTTACATTTATTGGGGCTGACTCAGTGGCAGATCTAGCATGGAGCAAACAGGCGCCCCCACACAACCAGATTCTAAAGGAACCGATAAAAAAAAATAAACTTGTAGATCGGGGCACAGCGTTCTCACGAGAAAGAACGATATTGCTTTTGTCTTTGTCAGTGTTATGGAAATAAAAATATGGGCAACTAAGACAGAACGCTTATCTCCTGCTTCGACAATAAAGGCCCTGTAGGAAAAACAAGGGAACATGACAAGTAGAATTCCACTTTCATGACGTCATTCGCGACACATTTATCGCGTACAGTACAGGCGACAATGAACTAAACAAACACACTGGAACGGTGGCTGCATAATGTTCCCTACGCAGGGGTTTGTGCCAGGAAGGACACCAAACAAGTGGGATTTGCATCTCTCTCTGCACTATGGCGGCTATTGAGGCTCCGCTAAGTGCAGAAAATAAAAAAATCAAAATAAACCACTATGGTTTTACTAAAAAAATTACAAACCCGAAAAATATACTACTAAATACTACTAAAATATATTCATATACCTACGTAAGTCAAACGCAGCGCACTGCACAGCCTAGTAGATTTGCAATTAGCGGAATTAGCAAAGAAATATGAATTTTCTATTACGATCCTGGCCCCTGCGAATTTGTTGTATTGTGTTGTTTTTCTAACGGAATTCGATTATTTTCATTTGTTATTCAATGTTAATTTGTTTGTGCAAGTACTGCAAGTAAACTTAATTTACTTAGTTGTTGATAAACGTCTATGCTATGTTGTTAGCAGTTACGTTACACTAGTAAACATTGTCAGAAATTTATATTAGATTGTACTGTAACGAAAATTACCCTGAGTCCGCCTCTGACTCTTCCCGGCCGCGTGGAGAATTCTCGAGACGCAGCGCGAAGCTTCGTTCGTGCTGCGGAGCGGAGAGAATCTTCGAGAAGCAGGCGCTTCGGATATAAAAGGAACAATGTCGGGCGGCGAGGGCAGATTTCGCCAGTGCCGGGTTGAAGAATAGAATACTTTTATAAATAAATACAAGATACAAGGCGTTACATAAACTAGTTAGTGTGTTTAGTTAAATTAATCAGAGTGAATTTTAGTTAAGTGTTAATAAAAGTATAGTTTTAATTAATTGGCAGCTTTTATCACATCGTAGTCGAACAAGTTCACGCTAAAAACGTTACAGTACTTATTGGAAAATCTGCTGAAT